ACTATCTATCTAATAAAAAATATCATTAGAAGTGTTACAAATACAATACCTACTCATTAGACGCTCCGTTAATTATCTAAAATGATAATTATATTTAATACAAATAAGTACAATGTACTTATCATATAAATAAATTATTGCTCATAAATATATCAACGCAATAATTTAAACATATTATTTACTAAGTATATTTTAATCGCGAATACATTTGCTTAACAAATAGACAGGTACAGAAAGTATCTTATGTCCTTTTCTATCTGAACCGCTAACAAAATACATAAATAATAAACTATGACTAACTAAATTTTAACTAACTTGAAAAATATAAATTAATATTGTACATATATTTCGAGCGGGGAAAGTTATTAGTAATAGAGCCCACCCACTGCTAATAGTGTATCACTTCCCTCCACCTTATATCTATAGAACCGCCGCCATTCTATTTTAACCCATAAAAAACATGTATTACAATATATTTTTGAAATAAGATCATAAGATATTGAATCGGAAGTTGAAGTATTAATAAATATAATCTAGGTATTGAAGCATGCGTGCGTTTTATGTCAATGAACGCTTATTTATAAAACTAACATATCCATCTTTTAGTGGGTACATATACCTAGGTATTTATTTATTTTCTGTAAAAAAAAAACGTAAGCACATATTACAACCAATTTAATGGATAAGCATTTAGTATGCTTTGATTCGACACTATTAGTCAAACACTTGACTTTTTCTGTCATCAAACTCAATAGCAAAATAGTATCAATAGGCACTTTGTTTAGTTCCATTACCACTTGCCAGTACAACAAAAAACGTGTCCAAAGAAAGACAAGTTGTTTAAAGGATTAATATTTTAATTTTTCTTTTGTTTTTTTCAAGTGCCGACAACGATCTCGTTGTGGCGAGAGATAACGGGTCTTTTTATCATAATGTTCTCGTGTTTCAAGATAAGCTACTATGTTTTTTGTTGAAATTATTCTGTCAACGGGACGCTGTTTCTTAATATTCAAACCGTGTTGGACATTTGATATTTATATCCAAGTGAATAGTGACACGCAATTATATTTTGTAGCTTATGTCTGGTAAAGCCTAAGTAGTTATGAATTGTTTTACTAATAATATAATACCTATAGGTAATAAATATTTGTAGAACTATATACAGGGGTGGAGCCGAGGCAACCTAGGCAGAGCCTAGTGCCTATGGCCCGAAAAGATTTAAAACTACCACAAGCAAAGTGTTAGTTAAGACTGAAAAATAGGCCCGGTATTACAATGTTTACGTATTTTACTGCACCACGAAAATAGTTTATTCTTATCGCCATGCTATAACTGATAAATACGAACATCGTAAAATACAATAATTAACATATGTCCAACTTTATTTTATATTAAATCAACTTAGTATAGAATAGTAAAGAAAAACATTGTTAGGTGTAATTAGACTCAGATTTTCTCACGAGACTACTGCACGCGGTTTTTCATGAAGTGTACTTATGGTTATTTAATAATTATTAAGGTTTCTTAAAGGTCTACTCTGCTACACGCACGTGACACCCCTGGTGTCTTAGGCGTTCATAGGCTATGGTAACCATTTACCATCAAATGTGGCGTATGCTTGATTGCCACCATCCTAGTATAAAAAAACCCAGATATGTACGTAATATACCTATTAGGTAATCACGTGTTACAATAGGTTACCTTTATTGAAATATTAAATAGTTATCCAACTTGAAATAATCATATGGACTTATTATAAACAATAGCGATAACGACAATGTTGCATACAAAACAACATAAATATTATACATACATATTTGTATAGCTAATATATTACTTCATTATTAATTGTCTTATGATCATGAAATAAATTATCACATTTTAAAATTCAGTCATTTTTTTATATATGTAATTGTAATTTTCTACCAGCTTAATAAACAAAATTCAGGACGAATTTGACGAGTATTTATTGTATATGTTACACAAGAAACGTGGAGATACACCATATTTTCTACTTATGTTTATAATTGATAAAGTTCAATTTCCTACTTCAAGATTAGACATAAAATTCAAATTTCAATGTAGGTTTATACACAACTTGATATGACCAACATCTCGGTAAAAATCTTTGTTCCCAATTTTATTTCTCCTGTAGTAAACAAAATCAATCACTATCTATGTGTAATTAAAAAACATGTGGCATCACAATTTTTTGAAAAAAAAATGTGATGAATATACGTACATTGCAATAATTTTATCAGATTAACTATTACCTATAGGTATAGGTAGTTACTACATTAAAATTAAGATGTATAAAAATCTTTCTTCTTCAACACCTACATAGGAATTACTCATCTTTTCAGTTATATCCAAACCAAAAATTTTTTCAACATTGCCATATAGTTAGTTATAATGAAAATATTAGTTTTTGTGTATTATGTAAATAGACAAAGCCACTCAAACTCAACAACGCGTAGGTAACCGACCGTTAAAATCTGTTATATGTAAAATATGTCAAAAATAATGTTATGGAGTCGAGGTAGTTTTTCATGATGGTGATTATTCAGTTTAATTACATAATTAAATAAGGAAATAAAGACATCAGAATATATAGTAAGCTCCAAAAATGTAGCTATTTTGGGAACATAAGTAGCATAAAGTCATAACATAATAACCACAAGTATAGCCATATCAACAAATGTAGATAATATATTTGCAAATAAATTTTGAGATCTGTGCTGCTGATTATTACAAATAGGAATATTTTGTTTTATAATTTTATATCTTTGGTACGCTTTTTAATTACACATTTATATTATACCTAATGCTAATATACTCTTAATTTACTACCATCTTTACTGATACATATATCTATCTACAAGTGTTTTAAGATTGGGTCATTATTCGTAGCATACTTAATTGACCTTTCAATCATTATTTTTTGGTAAACATCCATTTAATTAAGCGATAACTTACAGAGTTGTGCAAAATATAGATATTAAATTGGATTATAATTTATTTTAATGACATTTTTATTAGTTTACACTTTTATTACGATATAATGAGTACCTGCACATATATTTCACAGTACAGATTTACCCACAAAATATATACCGCATTACGAACCTACTACTAGTTCTACTACCGGCTTCGCACGGGCGTACATGTATTGTACATATATGTAAATCTTCCTCATGAATAACTATCTATTGCTAAAAACTGCATTAAAATCCGTTGCGCAGTTTAAAAGATCTAAGCGAACAACGGTAGCGGAAGCGACTTCCAAAGATGCCAATTGATAATAATATACGTAGGCAAGTAGGTGCTATCTACCTACTAATAGGAACTGCTATTTGTGCATACCGTTATGACATATTTCTACCATAAAATTTATTTATTAAACTTCTGTTTAAATTGAAACAACATATTTACTCTAGAATGTAAACAATACAAACGAATTTCACAGAAAAAACTTTGTTCTGTGATTTTGATCATGTACCATGCAAATAGATAGGTATACCTACATTAGGTACCCAGCTCTCTCACTTAAGTACTTACATCCCTCACGTATATCTTATAAATACCTACCTTAAGTACATATAGATAGGATACACCACGCACATCTTATCAATGCGAAACTTTGTATGTATGGATGTTTGTTACACTTTTACGCAAAAACTACTGAACGGATTTTGATGAAACTTTACTGGTAATATAGCTTAGATATGCGTCAGAATAACACATAGGTTATATTTTTTATTGAAACCGCGGGCACTTATAGTATTTATACAATACAATAGATCTGCTGTTTTGAAGAGTTCTAGCGGCTTGAAAATTAAAATTTAATTCCTTATGTTCCGTCAACACATGTCGGTACATATATTTAAAATTAATTAATCTTAGGTATAACAAATATAGAATGTAACAAAACACAAAACAAGACACATAATATAAAATAAATAAAAGGAAGTAAAATGATTTCGAAATCTTTTATTGATCCGAGATTAAGTACATCCGAAAATGCCGTACACAAATCATTATGAGTATCTCAGATTGTGATAGGTGAAAATAACGAAATGTCATATAAATTGCAGTATTTCAACAGACCTTTACATTTATCAATCTATTCATATAAGCGCTACAGACAAGAGTTCTTTTTCAACATGCATATGCATATCTCTAATTTAGCCGATGTTGATATAGATATAGGGAGGCCCTTGCCGATAATGTAACACTTTCGCTCGATATCTCTCGAATCAATAAATATTTAACAAAATAGAATTTATACAAAGTCTTCTGAATATGTCTATCTCACCTATTTCAGTCTCCAAGCCCCTTGTGAGCAGTTTTTCGGTTTAAAGGGTAGAATGAACCCTTCGTCTTCCGGAATGGAAAGACTTAAGGGGTACTACCTACCATCACTCTTATGACGAAGTGATGTCCTTGGTAGGTCCATATAGCGACAGTTGATATTTACCATCAAATTGGCCGTCGGCTTGTTTCCTATTCAAATTAAATCTTTCAAGAATTTTTCTTCCACATTCACTCACATATATTTCCTCATTTCATCAGTACTCTAATCCATATTTATTATAGCCTGTAGATATCGACGATGGTGTTAGACAGATACTCCTGGAATAACCTATGCTAAAGCAAAATTTCCACTCTATATTTTTCGTACCTTACGGTACATATCTGAACACCATTCCCTCTTTGTTCTTTTCTCTCATATTAAGGTACTTATCACACTAGCACAGAACTGTAGATATTAATACTTGCATAGGTATTAATGTTGCTGTATTAATACAGCGTCAAAATCATCAAAAGATAATATGCGATGTTACACCTTTAGTGAATTTCATGATAGAAAGCATAAAGCATGTCTACGCATTATCCCCAATAAGTGTAGCTATAATTGGATTATACCCATCGCTTATATAACTAAGGTAAGGCAAACTATATGTCTAGCTTAAAGTAAAATTGTAGTATAAAATTCTTACCTCCAGGAAACCTGTGTGGAAATATTCTCCCGTGCCTGTTGATTAGCCATGGATATAATTGATAAGATTCTCTCGGCACTGGAGCGGCAGGATGAGGTGGAGGGTGTGGTGGAATAGGGCCTCCAAACCCTTGCTGCTGATGAGCAAGTGCAGCGGCTAACGCGGCGCCTTGAAAGTGCGCAAGGAACTGGTGATGGTGACTCTGAGCATCCAAGTATGGTAGCCTCTTCAAGTCAGGAGTCGGAAAAACTGCTGGTAAAGCACTAGGCCGTAATAAAGGGCGCGGTGATGGACTTCGAGGAGAAGCGACCGGAGAGGGCGATCCAGGACTGGCTAGCGGCGGCGACGCATGTTTTGCTCTCTCTGAGCCGCCAACTATACTGTCTATACTAAATCCTATTTTCGGCTTCGATGGCACCGCCACCACAGGGGTCGGTGCGAGAGGCATCATGCTTTTGCACACAACGGGTCCGTCACAAAAATATTCACCAAATCTCAGAAGCACATGTTACACAGAGCACAATCCATTTTCGTGACGCGAGTACGCGATACGAACGCCGTGGTGGCGCGCGACCGAATGAGCCCTCTACACTCAATTTTCGCCCGACCAGCGAGAAAAAAAAATAACGAACATGGACGGCTGTGCGCTGATTGGTCGACTTAATCCAATGGGTGTTGACACATCGTTGAAATGCACTCTTTATTCGGATATCTGCGTCGCTATTGGGCGAAAGGCGTGCAGAGGTGTTATTTGAATTTGGAACGCTTTCCGAGTGGGCGGTTTAAGTTAAGAACTTGTGATTTAACCAGTCAAATGGGGTTTTACATCACATTTGTCCGCGATGATGGGGATGTTCGTGCTTTTGAATTTTGTTGGATGTGATTCAATTAAGGCACCGATTGGGTAGGTTAGTATACCTTGGTTTGCTCGTTTTTGATGTTTCGTACGCGCGATGCCCGTCCGTATCGCTCGAGCTCCGTATTTGGAGTGTAATACTTTTTAATTGACTTTGATGCTTTATTAGCTGAAATGTCGCGACTCGCGATACAGACACTTAGGTATATAAAATCCCGAGAGATTCCGTCGGTGAAAATAATTTATTTTGCACAAACGGACCTCTTATCTTGTATCAATTTCTGTAATTATTTTGTTGATATTAAAATAATTGTTGCCGTATGATTACTTTATGTTGTTGATTTAATTTTTAATGAAAACCGATAAGATTTGAATTTCACGCAAATTTTACGCCATTATAAACTAAACAGTGTTTGGTAAATACTTTGATTTTTTAATTAAAATTGGTATTGCTCACCATTTGAGTGTGAAAATGATTGATTTTTGTTCTTCAAAAAGGTTGTTACTGGATTCGTATTACAGGATAGATATCTTTGTTACCTAAATAAATAAATAATGTAGTATGAAATTATTTATTGAAAAGGTTGAAATTGATATGTACCTACCTACTAGCTCCCGCCAACTCCCGCATTAGTTTTATACTTACCAACTAGGTACCTACTATATACCTACCTATATTTAGATATGTAATCAATTAAACTATTTTAATTTAGCAAAAAGAAGACATACCTACATATAGATAAGTACCTAAATAGGTGTAAAGTAGTTATCTAAGTAGATACTACCTATACCTATATCTACCATTTCGTAAAATATTTAATCAAATATTATTAAGTGTAGTAAATTTCAATAGTAAAGTCTAAGTAAATTTCAAAAGCAATTAACGTATTTTTAGTACAAAACTTACAACAAAAGAAGCATTCTTTTTATAAGTAGGTAGTAGGTAACTCAAATATGGATAACAATTATTGAAGAAATAAAAAAAATCACCTACAGTTACTTGATAAGAGATTAATGAAATAACTTTATCTACTTTTTAATGACATTATAAAACGCCCCACATAGGTACTAACTACAGTAAAATCTGGTAATAGGCAATACCAAAATATTAATAGGCATATCGCGTGTTATGCCTAGACTTTTTTTATGATTAGGTATATTTGAACAGATAACAATTAGGTATTCTCAGCTCTACCTACGATTGACTAGAGAAATACCGCATGGTTAAGAATCTACAGAAATGGGCCCAGATATTTGATATTTATTTACCTAAGATAGGTATAATTTAAATTTTGCGTTAAGTATTTAAGTACCTACCTAATATTCTGCTTTGAAAAGGTATTACCTATTCCTTGACATCATTTAGATCGTCGTGACCTAGTCATTCACTACTCTGACTTACATCCGTCGTGAGTTCAAATCTAGCCGCCATCAAAAACATTTTTGTATCAATTTATATTTCGGATTAACTCTCCGATGAAGGAAACACCGATATCAAACTACAAGAAAAATTCGAGCGACGGCAATGGGGTCACCACCTTCCATGTTTAATTCGAATGAGAGCATGTCAAATGTTATTGTTTTTGTCGTTCATCATAGATAATATTGACAGTTGACAATAACTGTGACTACCCTATCTGAGATAAACGTCGTAATAGTGTATGATATTATTGACATGGTGAGGTGCCTATAATTATTAGGTATAGATAGTCTATTTTTATTTATATCAGAGATTCTAAAATAAGCTATGTTGCCAGCTTTTTGCGATTCTTAAATCAATATTGTGGCACTATTGTAAATTAATAGATAGATATTAATTACCGATTTATATTGGTTTCGTTGTCATATGTAGGTAATAGATACCATGTGAGTTTTCATTTAACACGCATTAACATAAATAAATAAAGTAGATACTACCTACATATTAGGTATAGATTCCAGGTATTTATCAATATCTATAGGATTGTGTTGTTATATCAAATTAGATTTATTTTAAAGACACATCCTATGTATTTCACTAAAACAAAGACTAACTACATTTTTTATGAAACATATGATCATATGATTTCATTTTATAAAACGTAGGTACAGCTAAGTATTTAAAATATTTAGCCGTTTGAAAAAAGTGTTTGACATTTTTTGGCACCAGTTATTGTACCCACTCAGAAGGTACCACCTATGCCAGGTATTAGGTTCACTGGAAGGAAGTAAGTCCACCTTTGCTCACATTAACTCTAAATAATAATATCATTGTATTATCTGTGAAATAAAGATTATTTAAAAAAAAACTTAATTGGTTTGTAGCCTTTAGGTACCTACCTAACTACTATAATATATCTACCATAAAAATTACACTATGTACGGAAACTAGAAAAATGTATTTTTGTGTTGTTTAATACAAGGACAGTAATGAAAACAATAGTAGGTACCTACCTAGAGAAAGAGTGACGCCAAGCTTAGCTTAGCTTATTTTGCATATCTAGTGGTCTGCAGAGAAATTATTGATTTTGGATTAGACTTCATAATTATTAGAATCATTTGTCCAAGCCCCCCTTTTTTTGAAGCCCCCCAAGACACTTTTGGAACACTAAGTATATCTCGGGAAGGCTAAGGTCACCAGGACAGGCACTTGGAAAACGAATCTACTAATTACAAAGCATATCCTAAAACCAATAATTTCACAGTAAACCACTAGGTACCTACCTATGCGAAATACGGGCGAAATTATTGGGAGACTTTGGCGTCACTCTTTTTAAAATAAGTTAATAAACTACGAAGAATGTTTCTAAAATAAAAAAATAAGATGCAATAAATCAGTATCGTCAGCCAGTACTACCCCGCTGGTAACATAAATTTGACATTTACCTACACCTGTCAATTTAGTCTCCGAAATTTAAAAAACTGGGCATAGCTCCATTTATTGAAGTCGATAATTAATGACACGAAAATTGCAAATTCATATTCTACATACCTGGACAATTAGATAACACAGCGCCGTCTAGCCCCACACTAAGCAGAGCTTGTATTCTGGGCATTTAAGTACTAGACATCTGATATAAATACTTAGATTTTTTTTGTAAATACATACATGATACATAGAAAATACCCAGACCGATATAAAAAATCATACTCATTAATACAAACGCTTGTACCGTGCGAGAAATCGAACCCGCGACCATTAGAAGTAAAGCGGTGTGTTAAACAGCTAGACCACCGATGCCGTCATAATGGTTAGCTATCTATTTACCAGCCCGCAACAAATGCTCAGTTACTAAACAATTAGGTATCAAAACACGCCCTCAACCGTCAGTTTGTTCAGCAGACCTCTATTCAGTTATTCAAATGAAGTCACGCCTGTGCCAGATCAGGCGATAATGTGCGAGTCGGTAATCTTGTGAAATGTGTAATTCTTAAGGTCTTGGGCTTTGTTTGCAAAGGCTACCATAGATCACGTTTTCTTAATGTAAAGGTAGGTTTAGGTAGATACTTGTTTATTGTAATATCTATGTATATAGGAAACGGTACCTAATAGTGTGTTTATTAAGATTAAGGTTACCTAATTTAAAAACGGGTAGTGTCCTGTTTTTTATTCCAAAGTCAAAGGTTCATCTACGTAATGGATAGATATAACTCGTGTACCGTTTTTGTTTGCAAATCCTTTGGAATAAAGCAAACACGAAATTTAAAGTAAAACCCACCACATCATCTGCGTTAGTAAAAACCGAACCCAAATCGGTTAAGCACGGACAAATTGAAATTCTAACAATTACCTATTGATTTGGTGTCTTTATCAAAAAGCCTATCCATGCATAGATATCTAACAGTTTTATGTACCTATAGATACCTACCTATTCATATACCTACTTCCATTATCTTCCATATGGAGTAGGACAGTCAGAGTTCAGTTACATTTTTAGTAAGTAGATATACCTTTACAGTTTTATACAATACCTATACCTACCCACTTAAGTTGCTTTATATTCTATGTTGGTTATAGATTCTTCTAAACTACAAGTATAAAATATTGATATCACAATATTGCTATTAGTTTTGTGCCTCTCTTAGTGTCAACCGTACCCAGTCTTCGCTATTAGAGAGAGTTTACTTATCATTCAATCAAAGTACAGTACAGTAAAGTACAGTAGGTAGATATAGATAACTACTCTTGGTATAGAATTTTAGAAATTATATATAAACGTACATAGTATAGGTATCTACTTTAACTGTTATGAAAGATATTTTATTTTATTTATTTATTCATTTATATCAGGCAACTTGGCCCATATTATAAATACCTTATAAACTAACATACATATAATATAATATTTAAAAACGAATACATTGATATTGTCTGTGTGATCACGGCATTGAAGACGGTAATCTGCCACGGTAGCGCCGATATACCACACCTTTCGGCCTGTAGTCCTCTTTCATAAAGGTGGGCAGCAAGTTAATGGGGACCAGGGCCACAAACGCTTTAAAACTCGCGTTGTGACTCGACTTCAGCTGCGTCACCCTCAATGTCAGGTTACTCTTGGTACGGATATATCTAATCGATTCCTTACGTACATTATCGTGGTCGGTGTAGCAGAAGAATGTAATATTACCTAACAGAACTATCCAATACTTAGATGAAAGATTTGAAGAGGTTTTATAATAATATAAATAATAGAAACTAATTACAATACAGAGGGTTGTAACACAAATT